ATGTTCAGTTATCAGTCAGGTGATGTATATCACGAGATCAGTATCAGATTATTCAGTACCGGTATCAGATATCAGTTTCAGTTTCAGTTTCAGTTCAGTTATATATGCCAGTATCATGATATTGTAATGATTTTCACTGTTTACTTTAGTATGAGTTTCTGCGGAGCATAGTGTTTTAGTGCTCACGCCCCCACATTATTCATGTTTTTCAGGTCATAGAGTCGGAGCCGAGGAGTGAGCGGGCGACCGGTTCAGGACATTTGTTTATAGTGGTAATGGTGCTTTTTAGCACTTAAGTGAAAGCACAAATGAAATATAGCCAGCTTTATAAGAAAAATGAAATCTAGCCATTTTGCTAGGTAAAAGTACATAATTGCCCTTGGACACATCTTTTCCTTTTTTCCCCTTTTCATTATTTTTCCTCATTTTCTTCCATAATTTTTTCCCCTTTGTTGTACGCAAGCCCGCCATCCTCTGCAAAAGAAACCTTCTCTCCCCCATTGCAAAAAATTGAAATTTCCCCCCTCATTCCGGCGATTCGTCGAGTGGTGCAAAGGTTTTCATTGCTTTTTCATTTCACCGACTGTTGCTCATCTCTTCCGACGAGTCCCTGTCCGTCGGGTGCGCTCTTCTCATTCCGGCGATTCACAATTCGCTCCTCGTCTCGTTCCGGCGATTCACAATCCACTGCTTGTCTGGTTCCGGCGACTCACAGGCTGCTGCTCTTCTCATTTTCGCTGCCATGCTCTTCCCAAGGTGCGGTTCCTTAACTTCAAATTTTTAGGGTTTTTTAGTATTTTTGGTAAAGGATTCGGGATTTTGTTTTTGGATTAATGCATAGTGTTTTTGGATCTTATGTGTTCAATGGGGCTAATGTTCAAAGTATTTATTTGACTCGAAATTATTTTTTGGATCTTATGTGCTCAACACTTCAACGGGCCTATGTGTTTTTTGCCCTTCCCATTCCGATTGGAAATTGTTTCTTGGATCTTATGTGTTCAGAGTTGTGTGTGATGAATAATTCTTTTATTTGGGATGGTTTTAGCAAATTGTTGGGCTGTAAATTATGAAATTTGTTATGCTTCTGTTCAAAATCATCCCTTATCTCAATTTGGTCAATGAAAGGGTATGTGAATTAATGAAACTAATTAACTTGTAATGAAAATTGATGTGTTCATTTTGTTGAGGATGTTGGTCGTTGAAAGGGTATGTGAATTCATTATAACATGTGGCAAAGGGTTACGAGGTCTATGTGTGTCTATGTGCTGCTCTTCAAGAGGATCCAAGGGGTGTGTACAAAGCCTATTTTTGATAATTCCATAAAAGTGCTTGCTTTATTGTGTTCAATTATGTTTTGGGGGTTTGATGAATAGTTGACTCAACAGTATATGGATTTGTTGTGAAATTTTAGTTTGGTTTGCATTTCCAGTTCAAAACTGAACTACTTGTTTTATGGATTGTAC